TCTTAGAAATTAACGAGAGTAATAAAAGCTGATTTGACCTCTCTTCATCTGCCCGGTTTGAATGCAAACCGCTCACACATATCTTCTTCAATTTTATTTATTAACTAATTACTGCGAAAAGTCCATCCGAAATGTGGTCAAATATCAGTCGGGACAGTCGAAGCCATTCAGTTTGGATATTTGTTGATCTCAACGGCCCTCTCTATTATTATTATTATTATTATTATTATTATTATTATTATTATTATTATTATTATTATTATTATTATTATTATTATTATTATTATTATCATTGTCATTATCACCATCATCTTTATTAGTAATGGACGAAATTACATCTCATTTAACTTCCTGAGCTCTTAGAAATTAACGAGAGTAATAAAAGCTGATTTGACCTCTCTTCATCTGCCCGGTTTGCATGCTCGCACTTATCTTCTTCCATGCAATTCCATGCAATTATAATTATCCACCACATAATTAATAATACTGTTAATAATATATGCTATTCCTTGAAATCATATGCATCCACAATATATTTGTCCACCACAGAATTTATTTTTTGTTTCTACAATGGTACTCCTTGCATATGTAGTAAGCAATTTCTAAACGCATGTTGGCCATCTTTTCTTTTGTCATATTCTCCAAAGATTTAAAATCCTGATGTTGTGCTCCCAACTCTAACATTTTTACCGCGAAGATGCCGCAGTCACAATCAATCTGTTGGGGTACTGTGCAGTATTCAAATTTCCAATCGGCAAATCCGTGCTTGCCGATTTCTCTAACTCCAGCAATGCCTTTAAACCCCATAAGATCATCCTTCAGCAAACCAGCCATCATCTCAATTGAAATTATCCTCCTAAGGGAGTCAAGCACGACGAGGCGGCACCTCTCAAAGTCAGCCTTGATACAGAACCAATGTGACTCCGTGCCTTTCAAATAATATACGTACTTAGTGTTCTTATTCCAGGCTTTGGTTTTAAATGCTTCCGGCCCCTCGCTGTATGTACCATCCACAATCTTTTCAAGGGGTCCAGACAAAACAGGCCACTCTGGGTCAGTCGCATAAGAGTTCACGTAATGGTTGAATTCAAGAGGCGCAATGCATGAGTCTCCATCGTCATTGCATAAACGTCTTCTCAGGACGTAAAGGTACTCACTCAGATGCTAGTTAACAAACAAAAGCAATATGTTATTAGAAAACGAAAGATATAAGCATTGTTTGTGTACGAAGAATGAAAGGTTAATGCAACTTACAGTATCTGCTACAAAAAAATCTGGAGTGATAAGGTCAGTCCAGAACGTTTTCACAAAATCCTGAATCTCCTTGTGTTGGTCGAGGTAGCATTGTACAGGGCGGTCATCTTTAATTGCTTTTACGATGAATCTCTTAAATTCCAAAAGATCTGATTTAGTTGGCGGCTTAGATAAGAGCTCATCGGCTTTCTTTTTCTTCCTCCCGTCCGCTGTATAAGGAGACTTCAAACTGGCTGACTTCTTTTTCACTCTCTAAAATAAAAAAAATAAGTGAATTACTTCGGAATCTTAGACCACAATAAAAAAAGCACTTGAAGTAAGAAACCAAACCTTTCCATACACAATTCCATCAGTAATTTCAGCCTCTTCTCCCAATTCCTTCGGGGGAGAAACAACCTACAGTTAAATAGAGTGTAAATAAACATGATCTAAATACTTCGAAGAACAAGACTGCATTTCGACTGCAAAGAATCCAGAATTTACCTTGTCCTGCTGAGTTTTCATAGAAGCAGCAGCGTGTGTTTCCATGACCTCATGGCTAGGCTCAACCTACAGAGAATTCGAATACATTTGAAAACTTAGACTGCACTTCGAAGGCACTTGTAGGAAGATTTTTAATTTTACCATTGCATGCAGAGGCTTCATTAAGGTAGCATCTTCTGTTCCCATTGTCTCGTGGGTAGACTCAGCCTGCAGACAAGAACAAAAAATATGAATCTATTTTCGGAAGTCAAATGCATTGTAAGTTAAGATTAGAAATTACCTTCCTGTTCTCCAAACTAAGAACAGAATCAGAATGAGTTGAAGGTTGATTTTCGTGCTCTTGTTCAATTTCCCCAACAATTTGGAGAATATCAAGTATTGGACAATTTGGAGAAACCTATAGAGTAAGAAGTATGAATATGATGAGAAAGAAGAATGAAATGATATTATTATTTCACTTAAGATATGCAAACAAATGAAATAACTCTATTAAACCCCAAACCTTATGGTCAGGGGAAGGATTTCGTGCCTCAGTCTCCTCACAATCACCCATGATTGTCGTCTCTGGCTCCTGAACGTTAACAGATCTAACAAATGTAAAACTGAACAAAACGTTTCGACTACATTCGAGGTATTCGACTATACTTCGACGTACCTCCTGCGGATTCTTGGTTGGTTCTTCTCCTGATTCAGTTACATTCACCTTCATATTTTTACATAAGAATAGATCAGTTCTGATCAATTAAAATTATTGGATGACTTTCAAAAGCTTTCATCATACCTTATTCACAATCTTTTGATTTATTAAAGTTGACAAAGCATCAACTTTTTTTTCAAGCACTTCAAACCTCTTTCTTTGTTCTTCTGCAATGTTATCAATTTTCTTTGACATTCGATCAAAGAGTTCTTGAAAGGTATTGGATGAAGGCTTGGCGGGGTTAGGAGACGATGGATTTGGGATGTTGGAATGGGAGACTCTAGAAGGAGATTCCCTAAGGCTCTGACTCCTCTGAGATTCTTGGGGAGAGGAGATGTGCTCATTACGCTCTTCAGAATCTTCTCTTGTTGGTGAAGGGACATTCCGGGCTTTTCTCTTCCTCTCCACCGGAATGTGGACTTCCCCTCTACACTCTAATTTGTCCACAAATGCATCCAACTCAGGGTGTTTTGTGGTCTCTAGAGGCTGGAAGTTCAAATACCACTCTGCAGTTGCCTCAAACTTGTCGGGAACAAGAATGCTCTTTAGAGACTGCAACCAAAACAATGACACTTTATTTTTGGAATTCATTAAATTTTAATCTTTTATTGACCAATAATATGTATATACCTGCACGTCCCCAACGTAAGCATCCATTTCTGTGT